GGTCCGTCAGGCCATTGTCATTGAGCAAAACCGTCCAGCGACGCACACCGTGGGACTTCACCATCTGCGGCGAGCCGAGCTTCAGCAGGGCCTCCGCCACCGCAATCGCCCCCTTGTCGCCGAGACCCGCTCCAGCCAAAGAAAAAATTGCCGAGGCCACCGTCCCAACTTCCTCCCTCCCGTCGCCACCGCGCTCGACCAGCACCCGTCGCATGATGGAGCGGACGCGCTCGTCGCCATGCGCCTCTCCCTGCCGACGAAGCCCCGCAAGCAGCAAATCTGCGAATGCTGTTTCGAAGTCTGCCGGTTGTTCTCGGCCCATTGCGGGTTTCTGCGCAACGCTCGCCAAGGTTTGCGCACCAGGCCCTCGCCCTCGCAGCTACAAGATCCAACGGAAGGATGGCAATTTTCTCGTCCAAATCGCAGCAAGGGCGCGCAGCACACGAAAGGGATGGCCACTAAAAAGACACACAAAAGCACACACACACACACACACACAAGATTTGGGTGCTCAATGCGTGTGCCAAATTAACCTTGTCAAAAAAAGGGAAAAGAAGCGGCGCCCGCCACACAGAGGGAATATCAACGAGGACGGCGTGCGGTGGCGAAGGGTGGGCAAAAGAAGCCGAAATGGCATATTAATTGCAGAAAATAGTCGCCAAACACCCTCTTGAAAATTTATTCGCATCCCTCACGGCGCGCGCTTTTTTTTAGGGTAAATTTCTACGCTCCACAAAAGCGGTATAAAAGCTTTTCATTTTGTTGCGCCCTGCTGTTTTTTTTTGTCGGTGCACCATTTGCTAGGAATCATTCTGCTTCAGAATATGGTTGCATACAAGTTGCGCCGCCGTATCGAAGCTAACTGAGCCTCGGAGCTCATACAGTGGAGACGGTAATGCCTCGTTCTCGTTAAGTAAATTCTCGAGCATTTCCATGGCCGTTGTTTCATCATACAGCGAACGCAAAAGATAATGCCCTTTAAAAAGAGAGCCGCGCTTTGTCTCTGCGAGGGTTTTCAACAACCCGAGAGACTTTTCTTTGCTTTCCCACTTCATCACCTGCGGGTTAATGTGCGCATGAGGCGTGGAAAGCTCCTGCACATCCCAATTGAGAAGCAAAATGCCCTTTAATCGAGCAATTATTGTCGGACACCAACGTTGACGGCCAAATGCCTCAGCAATGTGAATATGATGGCGCGCGCCCATGTTCCAAATAGTTAGCTCATTGTTTCGGATAAGTTGCTGAATTGTGGACGGGGAAAGTTGAAAGGTATGAGCCGCTTCCGCCAGAGCAGGGTTAGGACGGAGTGTCCCCAAAAGAGCCCCAACGCCCACTTTCACAGATGCGGGAATGCCCATGAGAAGCGCCGTAAACCCGTCCAAGCTCGGTTTGATGTTCGCAAGGGTGCTTGAATCGGCAAGGTGAAAGTTCTCCAAACCAACGACGCGAAGACGAGGTGAAGATGCCGCAAGACAGTGAAGCGCCAATGTTGTTTTGCCACTTCGTCGCGGGCCTAATATTAACACTGCATCACCCTTTTCATTACACAGAGCAGCCCCATTTATCCAGAGTGCCCGATACATGGGAAGAACGGTGCTAGCATGCGCAAATTGCAGCAGACGGGTTACATCGTCGGTTCTAAACTCCGTACTATTTGGATCTGGAACGCCAAAAATTCCCCAAGAAGTCAAGAGATCATTTGCAAAGTAGTATGGAGATACGTCACTTGGCGCAAGTTCCAATTGCAGTCGACGAGCCGTCGATAAGGTTTGCGACATGTTACTACATGCTAAACCCACATGGGCTACAACCCGACGAGAAACAAAACCGTCGAGAAGTTGCTGTGTGATCCATCGTGTGGAGTGTGGACCCACCGCCGTGTCCGTTTCTTCCCAAGCTGCATATTCTTCGCTTCGGCGAACGGCTTCAGTGAAATTATTGACTTCCGAGACAAGGGTGTAAGGATATCCCAAAGATTTCGGCGGCCCGACGTGGACACAAACATCGGCATTGGTGCGATCATTTTCTGGTCCCCCGTTGCTAGATTTGGACTGGAAAAAGCCGAAGTATTCCAATTGAAACCATCGAAGCAGTTCCTCATGGCTAGTTCCCACCTTCATGCGCACTGGGGGCAATGGACTCCCGTCAACCTCAAAAGAAGCCGATGGTAAACATATTTCGCCAACATGTGGAGTCACCAACTGACGCCGTAACGTCTTGAAGCGTAAATGTCGCCAATAGCGGGCTGCAGCCGCAGATTTTTCTCGCACCTTGGCTCCGATAACCATCTTTTTGGTTATTTGAACCTCCCTCAGCGGGAGCTGGGTGGAGAACCAGAGTAATAAAGGAAAAAAAAGAAATATTCAATCAGTGCATCACACACAAACACACACACACACATACACATAAGCACACATACGCGGGCGAAAACAACAATAACAACAACAACAACAACAACAACAGAAAAGGGCTCATGAGAGGCAACTGAATGCATCGCCAATACAAACCTCAAAGGGCACATTGAAGGTCAGGAAAAAATATTTTGCCCGTCGAGAAAAACATTTCCCCTCCCCCGTTTTCCTTCCATTCTCTCACGCTCCTTGTGTTGCACTCCTCCCTTTTTGGATGTTCCGCTCCCAACTCACCCCATTCTGTTGCACCCTCCTCTTGCTATTGTTGCCGAAGTTGTTTTGTTGTTGTTGTTTGTGAGACGCTATTTAAATATTCTTTTTAGGTTAACACACACAGACACACCGAGGAATATATACATATGTGTAGAGAAAAAAAAAAAAAAAACCCACCAAGTAACAAATCTTATACAAGCACTGAAAGTCATCCTTTTCCCTTGTCTCAGAGACCATTGCGAAGAATCCGTTAATATCTACTACTCTTCTGTTGTGAAGATAAAGGTCGAATTGCTTCTCAGCCGTGTGCTTAAAGCCGAATGTTGCATTTCAAGCATAAGTTTCTCTTTTAACCGGCGTTCCCCGCACCTTTTCTCTTCATCCGTCTTTTCCTCCCACAAGGTGTAGATAAATGAACCCACGCACAGAAAAACAATCGCCAATAGACTCAGGTACCATGGCGTGTAACCCTTCTCCAAATTCCACTTGGGTACAATGATAAGTATTAGGGCTGTAAAAGGCGATGAAAGTTGACCAATCATGGAACATAAAGTGACGCTGTATTGGTTGAGGTAGGCTGAACCAATGTACGTAAATAAAAACCCCAGGGTATACACCATACAGTAAAGGGAATTTTTACTAGAATGGAATACAAACCGAATTCCTTCATGGAAATTCGTCCATGCGTCATCTACACTTTTACTGCCTCCCCACCAAGGAATGGCGTCCATAGGAAGAGTGAGCATAATTAAAACGAATTGAATCGTCGTGCCGCAAGTCAGCATGACAAGCTTTACAACGGTGTCGGTACCCTGCATACTTTGCGTAGAGGGTATCTCAATTTCTCCAAAACGATGCCTTTCGCCGTTGGAACTCTCTGGCGCATGCGTCGTCTCACAGGGAGAGAAGGCGACATCGCCATCATTTCTGTCAGCGTTGAATTCTTTTCCGCCGTTCTTTTTAACTGAATCTGAAAACATCATACTACCTCGCCGTGGACGGCGAGGTTGTGGGGGAAAAAAATGACTTTCTTCGGGGGAGGGATCATACGTAAACTGAATCATGTACAAATTTTGCCAGATGTTCATCAACACCGTGGGTGGAACGGAGAAGAAAAAGATCAAACTCCACCATGCCTTCCCTTTTGAATCATCCCCAAAGCCATGTGCAAAGTGGTACGCCGAAGCCACCACCACTCCAGAGACAATAAGGAAGAAGGATGTGAAGATCCAAACATTCCAATATTTCCTCATGTCTTCTAGAATCCACTTGGTAAACCCCGCGGCATAGACCGGCACAAGGCTTGTAAACAAAGCCTGTAGCACTTCAGGTGTATGCGAGGCGGCATATATGGCCATGTAACTGTTCACTGCGTCTGCTAAACCAATAAGGAATAATATTCGCCATCCGCAAGCACAACGAAGATACGCAAGAGAGGGCCTTGCAACAATAATGTACACCACCAACATAAAGAAAAAGATTAATCCAAACAACAAGGAAGAAACGGCAAGTGTGGTAAAATTCCCTGGTGCCCCATCCTTCGGGAAAGAACGAAGCCAAAAATTCAGTCCTACGACTTGCATTGCATTTCCGCTTGTCACAAGAAATATGAGGAAGACCACCCAAGCGATACGTGATGGATGTGTACGGCGCACCCTTTCCAGAAACTTTGAAAACACAGCACCAACGGATGAATATCCTTCGTCGTCAATAAACTCTTCATTTTCAGTGCGAAACTCATCGTCGTTCCTCTCACCGATAGACACATGGTTTATTGAATGTGCATGCGAAGATTGCTGGGGGGAATTGCCCCCGTCTCCTGCAACCATCAACAGCGAAAAAGGCGGGTATACAACACCACCCTCTTCAGTATTTCTATTTCTATTTCTCTTCCTTTTTTTTTTTTTTTTCTCTCCCTGGCCTTTCAACGCAGCCACACACACACAAAAATAAAAAAATAAAAAATGTATGACCTTCAACAGTCCTCCACGTCACACAAAATCCCTTTTTCGGTTGCACTTATAATCCATTAGGAACAAAAAGAAGAAGAAAAGGGGGAATCAAATCAAAGTTTTCCGGGGATAATTCCCCCCTCGCAATCAAGTGAGAAGGAGGCGGGTAAAAAAAAAACAAAAAAACTCACTTTACACAAAACTTCACATTTAATCGGCAAATTCTCTTCTCCCCTCTCCGCTGCTCTTCCCTCCCACGCAATTGTCAAAGCCACCAAAACAACAATAAGAATAGTAATAATAATAATAATAATAATAATAATAATAATAATAAAACGCAGCGGCCATATCCAGTACGACATAAAGTCAGGGGGGAAAAGACAATTCGCACGCAATCAAACCTTACTCTTCCCCCCCCTATATTCCCTGCCTCCCTTTTACAGATCCACAGCAATTCCTGACCTCTTCCCACCCTTTTTTTTACTCCCACCGATTTTTTTTTTTTAAGCATCATGAGCGGGGAATGGAATCCATGTGTCTCAGCAGCTGCACCACCTCATGTGCAGCCGTCTTTGCCTCCTGTTCAGAGCCCACACCGGCTAAAAATTCGTAACGCAATTTGAGAGCCAAAAGTCTTTCCAGCGAATTATTTCCATAGTTTTCCACAAGTGCTTTTTCGGCCGATGAAAAAAGGCCCGTTGCGTATAAATAGTCCCGCATATCCGCATAAAGAGATGCCATTGCGAGAAGTGTCCAACCTGCCTTTGGGTTTTGTTTGTGTTCCGGGTAAAGAGTGCGGTTAAGCTCAAGAGCTCGTTCAAGAGTCTCACCTGTCCGCTTGCGTACGAGGTCAATGGCCATGGATACCGGTTCTCGCACTTCCGAGAAGATGATATCTGAGGATGTTGACACGGTACAAATAGGAGACATGGTAAACAATTGATTAGGAAGAAACACGGGAGTATCATGCCGCGATGTTCCCGGAGGTCGTGGCGCACCCAACAAAAATGTACCGTAGCTCAGCAAGCATGATGCATATGCATCCGTCTCAAACCGTCGTTCCTCAACACCGTCTGCAGACATTATACCGTCCGCATCTAGTGCGGTGTTATAAGGTGATGAGTAAAATTTGGCAGCTGCTTCAAACATTTCCATAACACCTTTATCCACTTCATTGGGGCTGGCAGACCAGTCAAAGACACGTGCCGCCATTTCTGCCTGGGCAAGCATAAAAAGACCTAACTCCGGCTCCTGTTTACGAGCTAGAAGACCGTCCAAGATCGGCTGCTTCCTTCGCAACGACTCATAAACAAGTTTGGCGGCCTCATTGATATGTTCTTGAGCCTGCCCAAGATGTCCTGTCAAAGGGATTGTAAGAATACCTTTTATCAACAGGAGCTTGGGCACATTCCAGCGAAGATCAGGATTCTTTTCAGCATGAGTCTCAGCCGCCTTACGACTTAATTTTAACAGCTCATCGACACGATCCATAACCATCGGTAGCGTGAGAATATTCTCCCCACTCTCCTTTGCCTCATCCAACACCATTGACCAGGCAGAAATATTGCCATATTTTTTCTTGATTCCATCCTCTTGCTTTGTATGGAAAGGTTTCTGATGTAATGCGCAAAAGGCGCGAACAAAATGAGCAACAATAACACACGCAGTGTCTATTTGCTGTACATCCGATTTATCCCAGCAATCGTTAAAGAAAAGAAGACCGCCCGCTTGTTTAAGAATCATACGGTAAATATTAACATGCTTAGCGTACTCGGAACGAGGTAGATGCTCGACACCGTTAAGGAGTTCGAATTTCACTGCAGAAATCGACCGTAAAACATCAGCAGTGGAGAAATTTTTGAGTCCACCCACGTTTTTCATGATCTCTTCCGCACGATCTAATAAAGTAAAAGCCTTGTCACAGCACTTCCCCCACTCTTCTGCGCTCATGGCGTTGGGTTTTGACCATCGCCGCTGAGAATTTGCCTCCGCGGGCTGAAGCAACGCCAGAGCGTCCTGTAACTCCGGTATGCCATTCGGGCGAAGGTGCACGCGTGGCTGAAATCGAGGGAAATAAAAGGCCAGATCTGTCGCATGCATAAAGTTCTTTGGGAGGCATGTATCCGTAATTGCCGTTAAACACCTATAGGTAGGGTTAAACATTTCGCCACTATACAAAGAAAAATCACTGTGTTTTCTGCTGATGCCAGGAAAGAAAAAAATGTCAAAGTGGTGTATTTGAAGTAGTGATGCACCTCAATCCACCCGCCAGGCGTGTTCTTCTTGCAACAGTGCCTGGCTGTCTCGGCTTGTGAAGAATGTCGCGAGGCCACCAATAAAAATATCCAAGCAAACCAAAGCAAAAGAAGAAGAAGAAAAGATAAAATAAGTATTCCCAGGAGACTAATTTTCATGCGTACTACTTTTGAGTAACCAAACAACAACAATAAAGAAAGGCAAAGCAAGGCAGAATATCAACTTCATAATTATCGCTCAATTCATTCTCTTTTTCTCTCTTTTCTCTGTATTTCTGCTCGCTCACTGCGTGAACCGTAGTTGTACCTTGTCTACCGCATTGTCGCTAGCGACAGCAGCTTCATCCGCGTAGTCCCGCTTGTGACCACCCTTAATGGTGGCAACTTGTCCTTTCCGAATCAATTCCACGCGTTCCCAAAAGAGCTGCTCATCGCGTGACATTTCCCGCCGCTGCTCCTGACGAATGGCATCATCGTTGAGGGAATTATCTACACGGCTCTCAAACTGAATGAGTGCGGGAAGAAAGAGTGGATGCACAGATCCAATTGGTATCGATGTGGGGTCAACATCTTTCTCATCCAGCGCCGTGACACATGGCCCCTCCTCATTATCTGCGCCTGCCCTCTTCGTTTCTCCCGTGAAAGCTTCACTCGTCTTTCCACCCGACTCACTATGCATGACCGCTGCTGCATGTTTATACTTTCCAAATTGAACAAACTGCATCCACGGTGTTGCCGCCTCGTGTTTTAGCGCCTCAAACGCCAACGGTTGAAGTGTGTTCGCATCCTCGTCATACCAGTGCTCTAAATGCGCCTGTGCGCGCAGCTGCTGGTTGTGGGATAAACTCCGGTTGAGTGCTGCCTCCTTTGCCGAGCGTATCTTCCGCGTGGCATCCCACAATGCCGCTTTGATGCTCTCGGCAATTCTTTCGAAATCTAGGGGCGCCGCACTTTGCCCCCCGACAGGAGTACCCTCTGCGTGACTGCTGGGTGGTGCGCTGTCCATATCCGCACCCGATGGGGATGGGTGGCCCTTGCGGTAAAACGGCTCCCACACCGTCTTGTCAACGAGGCGTACCGCAAGCACGGTGCCGTAGCCGCTACAAACCACTTCCACGCCCCGGCAATGGCCCGTGAATCGTCGCCGCACCAACTCCCGGTGGGAGCTCTCGAGCATCATCCTGTGCTTCAGTGCACCCACGAGGCCATTCGTGTATCGAAACGACATGAATGAAAAAAAGTAATTAGAAGAAACCGGTGAGAAAAAAGCGGACGAGCTCTCCTCTCCCAAGCGTGTTCTTCTTTTTTTCCCCTCTACCCAATGAGAAGTCCCCCGCACTTCTGTAGACAGCGGAAAGGAAGCAGGAGAAAAAAGAGGAAAAAAAAAAAAATGTGGGAAAGCGGAGCAAGGTAAAAAGAGTAAGGGAAAAAAGAAATGTGACGAGGCAAATAATAAAGCGGGAAAAAAAATGTATTTGAGTGGAGGGCAGTTTTGTTATTGTTCTTGTCTTTGCCCTCTTGTGCTTGATGCATCACCCTGCGTTATTTATGATCCCTCCATACAGCCTTGTGCAACAGTACGGTAGCTAATATGTATATGTTTATATCATTGTGGGAGGGAACAGTGTCACATCACCTGAAACTCGACAAGAAGACCAAAGTGGTCAGAGGGGTACAAATACTCGGGGACAGCCTTGTCGCAGTTCACCTGCTTCGTGATCCCAAGCGCACGTACAGAGGTGGTGCCGACAAGTTCTGCGTGGATGGGCTGCAAATGGCGGGAGGCAAACAACACGCGATCGGCACGACCAAAAAACTCCCGCTCGATGATTTGTCCCGCGTATGGATTGCGATCTCCGTCGATGGTGTACCCTTCATTCTTGTTATTCTCTGGGTTAAGCAGCGACCAGGCGTCTTTAAAGCCCAGCTCGGGTGGAAACGTAAAATAATTATTCGCATAATCATTAAAATCTCCCATAACAATTGCGCCGGTCGGCACACCACCAGCAGAGGGGCGTGCGCGCATCCGCTTCGTCAGGTTTTCCAATTGTGTTGTACGATTGCTGACATTGTTTTTATTGTATGGTGCAAGAAGATGAAGTGAACCAATTGTCACTGGAACATTTTTGGAAACGGTAATCGTAACTTCTGGCATCACACTCGTGTGTCCTGCAAAAGCAGCCACATTTGCATGATGCATCCCTTCCACACGCAGGTGTCGCTTTACAAGCAACATGACACCCCAAGGGCGGATGGCGTGACTATCTTCATTACAAGAAAGCGCATACCGTTCCCTTACCCATTGTTGTTCACAGAGGTATTTACACCACGCCGGCTCCACTTCCTGCATACTGATCACATCTGCATCTAGGGTTTCCATTGTCTTGGCAAGCGCAATGTACCGTGTTGGTGTGCACCAATCAATACCGTCTCGGCCCAGTGGAGTCCGCTCACCACTGTGACGATTGAATTGCACATTCCACGTTACAACCCGAAGCGTCGAAAGCTCCTCCGTTGGCGTTGGTAACACAGAAGAATGAATTTCTCCACATGGTTCCTCACTCCAAACACCATTCTTATCAGCAGCATACACAAAAAGCGTGTTCTTCGAGGCCACACCAACCCCATCCAACACACGCGATGTCGCCGCTGATGCACCAACGCCAGTGCGATATCGTACCCCAAATCCCGCAGCTCGCACACCCAAGTTGATGCTTTGGTACGACCACCCCGGCGGAGGACCACGGCAACCGGGTGTGCGTACAAAGTAATGGGATGGATGATGATCCAGTGCGGGGTGATCTTTCACAGCTCCACCGCCCTCTTCCGAATTCTTGCCCTTAATTACCTGTAAAATATTACGTGTCTTTTGAGCGGCTTCCATGACATTCTTTGTGCTAACAATGTCGTCTGCAATACCAGCGGGCAACGAATGCCCCCTCGTAAAGACGGGAACAATCTGCTCAATCATTTCTGCCCTGGGTGCAGTCAAAAGGAGGGTTTCTAAACCCGTAAGGGCAAATGTCCAATCAACAGACGCCTCAACACCGGCAGTGATCCTGCACTGGTCCTTTTCAATCGCTGTTGTCTTTTTGTCAGCACCGTCTCCCTGGACTTCTCCTCCTCCTCCTTTTCCCCCCTCCCGAGTTAATGTGGTCAGGTGCTTTAGGTGAGCAAGGAATCGCTCAATAGGGATCTTCGGAGGTTTCTCTGGGACACAGTCGTTATCATCCGGGGTCCAGCGAAAATTCCTGATTCCGCCGCCACATATCATGGCATGAGTTTGTAAGAGAACTTCAAGATAATCTGCAGATTGTTGACATGGCTTCGGTGAACCCCCCGTTTTGCGAGTTGCGCGCGACAAGACTCGTTCCAATACAGCTGAAGACAACAACAACGAGGTACCATTAGGCGATTCTTCAAAAATATGTTCATGGTTGGCCCCAGCACTTTCCTCCGCCATGTAGGCTTCCATCAGCTCCTTAAAATTGATCCCTAAACCACTAAGATCCGTAGCGGAAATGCCATTTGCCATCAGGTACAACAGCACAATGTCGGTGCGCACTGCCGCAAGTCGTTTCTGTAGTTCTTGCCGCCCCGTCCCCTGGTCACCTTGTGTAGCCGCTTCACCCTTCAAAAGATGGTCCATCGCAAGCCATTCGAGAGACTCACTCATGGAGAGAGACTTCATTTCACCCTGCTGAAGTGTGAGAGTCGTAATGTTATGGAATGGTGTGGCCCCGAGGGCAGAGAGAAACAAGTCCGTTCCACCAATAAGACAAATGGTATCATTGAACGTAACCTCCGCTGGTGTGCTAGACAAAAGAGGCGGCGAAAGGGTTACCGCGCCATCTGGCAAGGCCCGAGAAGCAAGATCCAGCATCCATGCCGACATTTTGCCCTCAACCGGCCCAGGAACACCAGCACCGCTGATGACAAACTCCTTCGGTGGCGTCCGCAGATCCACAGCAACCTGCCGGAACTTGTCCTCCAGCAGGTACACCATTGGGGAGGCCGCACTACGGTAAAATTTTCCTTCAAATTTTTTTCCTGGATAAAGCCGCATGTGGCGAACCTTCCAGAGCGGCTCACTGCCATCAATAAAAATAGCAAGGGATTTTTTTGGTTGAATGCGACGCAAAATGACATTCGTGACCTGCCGGTGGAGCACCTTAACGGTCTCCGCATCACGATCCTGCCCGATAAGATCCCGCGTCAGGCGTCCTGCCGCACCTGCAAGAGCGCCCATGTCGATGGCAACGTGGTCGAACCCCCATCCACTGCGGTTAAGGACATTGTTGAACTCCTCGGATATCTTCGGCGAGGTACGAAAATCCGCCGTCCAGAGAATCCGGCAGCGCTGAAGCATTCAAAAGGAATCAACAAGAAAAATAATAATAATAATAAATTAAGATTCTACTGTGAAGTAAAAAGCGCACGTGAGTCTGTGTGTATGTTTGTGCAGCGTTAACAAAAAATTCCTGAGTTAATTAAATACAGGTTTCCTTTTTTCCTTTTCCGTCTATTTCCTTCTCTAGTGAACAACAACAACAAAATAATAATAATAATAATAATATTACTCCAATGGAGGAGATGATTTGAATTAAATATGTCTTCTGTCCTTCTGCCACCACCACCACCACCCTCCACACACACACGCCCTTTTTCACACTCGCTCTCTCTCCACTGTGCTCTGGGAGTCGCATTGATATCCATGACAGCAGTAAAAAGAGAAGATAAATTGCGAGAAACCCGCAAGCAACTTCAGTGCGTTGATGCATGCATTGCCAGGCAAAAAATGCACGCAAACACATCATACCACGCAACAAGATAACGCACGCGCACACACACGCACACACAAAAAAAGATTAAATCCCCACCGCACTCCTTTACACACTGCACCTCCTC